GGGCTTCCTGGGCCATTGTCCACCCGTACTCCCAGCAGAGAACTATACTTACTCCTCCTCCTGATCATAGGACTGCTTCCACTCTACTACTCCATAACTGGTTGAGGCTAAAACCAACTATTAATATGCAGTATCTATGCTGTAGGAACTGACTTGGAGTCACTGGAGGTGATGGTTTGAAAAGCTTCATTGAGAACTTCCTAAGGAGAATTTTGACTTCCTAAAAGTGAAGTAAGTGTGGCCGCTTCCTATTTGTAGTTACTCTCCTGGTTTTCAGAGTTGATTTGTAGTGAACGATAGCCAAGCACAGGTACTGGATGGCTTTGGTTTGTGTCGTGTCTTCAAGGCTATATGAGCATGTCCATGTGCAGATCCATAGGTGGGTGGAGAAGACCTGAAACACATTTGCTGTCCTTGATGTGTGAAGTGAGCCTTGAAGCACCTCAGCCACACTGAATCACCCTCAGACCCTCTGGAGTACCTGCCCTCCCTCCTTCTAGACCTTCCTACATGTACTCCTCTTCTGTGTGGGACTCGTTCTCCACCTTTTCTCCAGCTTGCTGTTTCTCTTCCTTTAGGTCACACCATTAATAGGCATTTCCTTGACATAACTTTCCTTGACTACCCATGACTAGGCTAGGACTCCCTCTTGTACACTCTCATATTGCCCTGCCCCATTATGAAACTTGACGCACAGTACATAACGGTGGGTTAACCTGTCCTCTTCCTTGTGAGACCATGAGCTCCTGGAGGGAAGCACCATCTTATTTGCTGTTGTAGCCCTAGTTTTCAGGACAGTGACTGACCAAAGGTAATCAATATGTAATTAACACAAGGGTCAATATTATCTAATCATCACTGTGGGCCATGCTCTGTGTTTGGAGTTTTCCACATGTTTTCTTATCAAAACCTCACAACAATTCTATGACCAGGTACTATAATTAATTATACAGAGGATAAAAGCTGATAAAAGTAATTTATCCATCATGATAGCTAGAAAGTGGTACTTGACTCTAGAGCCACCTGTTCTTAATGACTAGATTACATAAAATGATGAACAAATAAAGGGTCTGAGAAGCATGCAGTCGGAGCTCTGTATGGGGATTGCAGCCTAATGAATGACCTGTGTGGTTGGCATTGACTGGCCATGATATTCATATTTTTTCTAATCATAGAGGGAAGGTCAGCTATGGGTGCCAGATTCCAGGAACTAGTAATTCATTTTCTTTAGAAGGTTTGACATTTACTGTAGCTCATATAACTTTGGAGATCATGTGATATGGAAGGTAAAACTCTGGTTTTAGAGGTAGGGATGCTAAACTTGGCATAGTCTCTCTTCCCCACACAGATGGTGTCAATGTTAGGTAGGTTGAAAGTGAGCATTTCTGAGTCCCACCCCTTCACTGGACAGTGGAAACCTTGGACTGGTGGGAGGCTTGGAGGAAGTGTGTATAAAGTAGCATTTTGACTTGATGGCTATTATATACTATGAGGATATTTTCTCTGGCATATTATTTTCTATCATGGAGCATCTATTGGTATTTAATAAAAAGATATCAAATATATATGCAGGGTGATTTCTAGGAAGTTCTGCAAATGATTAAGATTTTAGAAAGTTATGTCTTGCTACCATATGTTGTCAAGGAAACTTCTCTCTCATTGTAGTATAATTATGGCACCCAGCATAATTTACTGGATTAAATGGCCAAATTATTTAATTCAGGAAAAGAAAAGTATATAGATTATGTTCTTACTGCTTCCCCACCAACAGAATTATAGTAAGATCTCATTTTTCCATTTTATCTCTTTGGGTGTCTTAGCCAACTTAGAGGAAAATTCTGAATCAATTTTTAGTCACTTTGAAGGTATATGTATGTATAGTAGCTTGAAACTATAGGGTGACCAATGAGAAGTCCCTCATAATTGGGGCTTCCTGCCCTCATTCAGTGACTGTTGAACTTATTCATAAATTTACTTTTAGTTGACATTCAGGACTTTGTAGATTATATTTTGGAAAACTTTTACTAACCACCTCCCTTAACCCGACCTTTCAAGTTAGTGGCTGTGAACCATCTTTGTGAGCAGGTCCTATGTAGGCACCCAGTCCACTGTCAGCGGTTGGCTTTTTTGTGTGTGTCCCTGACTGGATTGTAAGCTTGTGGACACCAGGAATTGTATCTTATTCATAGCTGTAGGTCATGGAACTTATGGTACCTAGGTAGGCTCTTGATAAATATTTGTAGGACGTTAAAGCCGTTTGTCATGCACAAATCTTAAAGCATATTTTCTTCTTCTTTTTTTTTTAAAGATTTATTTGTTTATTTGACAGAGAGAGACACAGCGAGAGAGGGAACACAAGCAGGGGGAGTGGGAGAGGGAGAAACAAGGCTTCCCGCCAAGCAGGGAGCCCGATGGGGGGCTCGATGCCAGGATCCCGAGATCATGACCTGAGCCGAAGGCAGACGCTTAATGACTGAGCCACCCAGGTGCCCCGTAAAGATATTTTCAAATATGTATATACATGTTTTAAAAAAAGGCCCTATGATCTGTATAGTTTGGTTATTAAAAGTATGGTCTTTGCAAGCAGTCTGGTGTTTTTATCCCTGCTCTGCTGCTTCCTAGCTGTGTAAGGAGTAGAGGTCTACTTCATAAGCATGCTGTGGAGACTCGTTTACCTAAGTGTATCCTGTGCTTTCAGCGTGCAGGGTAGAGAGCTTACTTTTGTTTTGCAGAGACAGATTATAGACAAGTAAACACAGAGAATAGGAGAATTTCAGATTGGGCAAGGGGTAGGAGGGAATTTAGTGAGATGGGAAGAATTTGAGTTGGGGTCATGCAGGAGTGGAAGGGACTGTGGCAGCTGGGCGAGTCAGCCTGGACACGGAGGCCATACAAGGAAGCCTGCTGGACATATTCCTGGGGAGCAGAGGAAGCTGAAGAGGATCATATTTATTTATTTTATTTTGAGATATGGATTTAAAGCTAACAATTTAATTGTGAAGACAACCAACAAGGACAGCATGGATGGCAGGAGAAGAAGGGGGCCCAGGTCTTACAGGGTTGGGCTGAATAAGTTCACCTACCTTCAGGGCAAGGCCAGTACCTTGACTTAGTGAGGACAGTGTGATCTCACTTGGGTTTTTCAATCTTTAATAGATACACAGGTGTAGAGAGATATTTCTATGAGAAAAATAGTAGTGCAAACACCATGATAAATGGCAAGTGAGTAATACAAATGTGATGATAATGGCAAGTGGCTCCTGACCTCCATGTGAGAGACACAGTGGGGGTTGGGGGGCAGCCTGGAGACTCCTGGGCATCTGGTCCTCAGTGCCAGCCAAGTGTTGCCATGTGGGAATGTGGGCTCCAAGTGCTAAATCTGTCAAGTTTCCCAAAGAACCAGAAATCTTAATTTCTATGTGAAATTCCCAGAGTTAAAAATGTTGGCTCATGTCTAAAAAACCTTACAATGAGTAGACAAATGCATCTGTGGGCTGCCAGTTTGAAACATCTGCTGAAAGTTCTTTTTTGCTATGAAAAGGGGGATTATGTGAAGTACGATGCATGTGTAGCCTTATGCCCAATACATAGCCAGTACTGAAGGGATAAAGGTACTTTTTTATTAATTGCACCGTGTTTAGTTGTCTTCACCTTTAATTTGTTTAGTTAACTCTAAATCCATATTAAAAAACACATATCGGGGCGCCTGGGTGGCTTATTCAGTGAAGCGTCTGCCTTCGGTTCAGGTCATGGTCCCGGGGTCCTGGGATCAAGCCCCACATCGGGCTTCCTGCTCAGTGGGGAGCCTGCTTCTCCCTCTGCCTGCCGCTCCCCCTGCCTGTGCTCTCTCTCTCCCTCTGACAAATAAGTAAATAAAATCTTAAAAAAAATAAAAACCTAAAAAAATAAAAAGCATATATTATTCTACTCTATTTTTTTTTTAAAGATTTTTTATTTATTTGAGAGAGAGAGAATGAGAGAGAGCACGAGAGGGAAGAGGGTCAGAGGGAGAAGCAGACTCCCTGTTGAGCAGGGAGCCCGATGCGGGACTCGATCCTGGGACTCCAGGATCATGACCTGAGCCAAAGGCAGTCGCTCAACCAACTGAGCCACCCAGGCGCCCCTATTATCCTACTCTAAAGTGATTAATGTATACTAGTTCTATTTGCCTATTGTTTAGCTGTTTGTCCTGTCAATTTCTTTGATGAATTCTGTATTCATGGTACAAAGTAAACATTAATCTAGTCTTACTCATGTGATAAAAGTAGAGAAGAACAAAGGATGAACAGTTTTTGGTTACTCTTTCTTATTTACCATCTACCACTTTTGCTCGGTGGTGGTGGTTTCCCTCACTCCTTCTTGCTCCTTCACACTTTTGGGTCCTAGTCACCCTCGCCTGCATTAGTCACATGGAAGCGGAAAAGAACTGTGGCAAAGATGCCATTTTGCACGAGGCAAAGGATGACAGGAATGCAGCCTTACAACATGGTGTGTTTAGAGGTTTTTCATCAGTTTTAATGAAATACAAATGTGCCCAAAGCAAGTTATTAATTTTTTCCCAGAAAAAAAGTCTTCATTTAGTATGGCCTAATCCACATAGTTTTGTATTACAAGGATTATGTTTGGTGTGTCGCAATCTGTTGGCAATGGTCTTGGGGAATTTTATTCAGCACAAGCATCTTTGACAGTTCTGGCGTCAAGTGGGGTCAATTACTTGTTCGTGTACTTTTGGTCTTGTTGTCTCTATGTTAAAAACTCTGAAGCATAACGGAGAGGGACACTGGGAGTAACAAAATATACTTGAATATTTCTAATAGATTAAAGGCTTACAAAAATGAATCTCTGTTTTCAGCAAGTTTTTTTTTTTGCATTGTTTTAAAATGAAGTCATTTTATCAGCATGAGACTAAAGACTTGAAAATAATGTTTTTAGAAGAATCTTATCTGTAAATACAAGTTCTTAATTGAATCAATATTTTTCTCTCTTAATTTTTGTTACAGATCATGGAGGAAACAAATACGCAGATTGCTTGGCCATCAAAACTGAAGATCGGAGCCAAATCCAAGAAAGGTAAATCATGAGAGATGGAGAAATTGGTGGGTTTGATAATGGAGACTGGAATTACTGGAAGTTTGCCAGGGAGAAAATCAACCTTTATTCTTATCATGTATGTCCCCAAATATTTGTAAAATAAGCAATATTTTGGGAGGTTTATCATAATTAAAAATTATGCCTTTTATCCAACAACCAAAAAAATTAGGTATTTTATTGTAATGGAAATGATATTATGGAAGATACCGAAGCAAATTATGATTTCAGTGATGTCCTTTCATTTGATAGCCATGAGTCATGGTGACTCTCTGCGTGTAACAACATGTTTTCAACAATAAACTCCCAGTGTTTATACTTTAGGCTTCTTGTTTTTGTACCACACGAATTTGATAGTTATTTTTTTCTCCCTCCAATGTGTTAGAAACCTTAGGTTCCCTTTCTTGCACGTTTATTCTCTTCATCTGTCAGACAGTAGTGAACCCAGTACATTTCTCTTTTAGGCTGAGTGTTTCCCTCGTGTGGCCTTTCTTCTGCTTTATCCTAGAACACACCACCCAATGCATGGATGGTCAGGAATGAAAGTACAGGCACCGTTAGGTTTTTTCCCAGATTACATAGTATTTTCAAGTGACCTGCCAGTATTTCTGGATATTTTTTCAAAGTATAACCTTAGTCTCAACAAACTTTGTTGTATATACTTCATTATAAGATACGTGTAGTCATTAGGAGCTGATGAGAGATACTATCAAATAATTCAAAAACAATGATTGTGCAAGCTGAACATTATCTGTTTTGGTCCAGCTTTTTTCTTGTTGCTGTTTAGTTTCATATTTGCTTTTCCTTCTCCCTATGACTTTATTGCTAAATGATACTAAATGTTGAAAGATTTCTCTTTTTCTTATTTTAGTTCAGATTGCCTTCTTTTAATCTCATTTTATTAGTTACTCATCACATGGAATGTAAATTATTTTACAGTTGTTGTGAGGACTAGCTGGACTTCAGTGTACTGGGGTTCCTACAGAAACTCTGCTCCTGTTACTTTCTCGTTTCTGATTGTGGTGGCAAGAAAGGGAAAGCCTGGGTGCTAAACAGTCATAAGACATGGTGAATTTCCAAGTGTGATTCCATAACTTTGTACGTGCCTTCCATTTGACGAGTGCTATGGGATAGAGTCTTAATCTTCAGTGTGTTGAGATGATTTATACTCATTATGCTGAAGAAGAAATTACTCATTAGTGGGTTATCTTCCTATTTGGTTGTTTGTGGCCATTTAAAAATCCCTGGCCTACTACTTGAATAAATTGGAACTTGAACATAAATTGGATTCTTTTTCCCTATTGTCATGTATTTTTACTTAAAGAATGAAATGAACTTCATTACTATCCTAATAAAAATGTAATTTGATCAATCTCCAAGGAAACATGAATATTAAAATGATTCCAGATAATTTTGAATGGCTTATTCTCTTGCACTACCCATGCGAGGTTTTTTTTTCCCCCACTATCATGAGAAACTGGGAATTGATTAATTTTTTTATTCAAAATGTGGTTACAGCTTTAGAGATTTTAGATAATATGGAGATAAATAGATGAGGTTAACGTTTTAGGTTAGTTTCCAGTGATTGACATACTTAACCCATTCACAGTGACCCATTCCACATTTTGATTATACATTTTGCTTTGAAAATAAAAATATTTCAGCAGTACATTTTGAGGGCATTTAGCACAATTTCCCCATGGTTAAAGTTTACCTTTGGAATTGTGCCTAAGAATTGATCCCTCCAGGCCTATGTCTACAGACATCATTTTATTTTTCTATTATTTATGAAGTGCTATGAGTGTACAGAGCATAGTATCATGAGCAGAATGTGCCAAAAGAGAGAGACTGAGCTCAAGGAAGGGAGAAAAAAAATCAAAAATTTTCCTCAGAGGAATTTACGGTTCAGAATTTATTTGAGTTGCTCTTATTACTTAAACACACAGCTGCTGAATCAGTTCTTGGCTAACATCCCTGATATGTGTATTCCTATGTCAATTTTAAAATGGTTAAATTCAGAGATGAAATTTGTTTGATTATAATTTGTACTAAGTAAAAATAAAATGAAAATGGCAGGAGGACCTTCAGAAGGTAATTCTTTCATTTGATGTGGATATCTGCCTCTAGGTTGTTGTATGGAAAACAGTTGTTAGTCTTTATTTTAAACCTTCTTCATTCTAAACTGGTATTATTCAAGAGACTCAAGAATATAAATAGGGATTTGTGCCGTGTTTGGATGGTTATTAAATTCTAAATTCCACGGTGATATGAAGATTTGGAATATACAGATATTTGGAATATACAGATAACCCCCAGACGATGCTAGTGATACAATACAGGCATGGGTTTGTGTTGCAAACACAACCCATGTGTTGTGTTGCATGGGTTTTATTTTCTAGACTTTTGATTCTGTTGGTTGAATATATAAGTCTAGACATTTTTCATGGCTGCTGTTACCCGTCTGCCCCCTTCTTTACCCTATCAGAGTTTAGTCCTATGCTTTATTTTTGAAGCCATCAACCCTTTATCAGAGTGGCTGTTTGGCTGCTTTGGTTGAAGTGCTGGTAGGGAGCTGCCCGGCACAAAGGCAGAAAGCCAACGACCTGAATTTCCTATCACTTAGAAAAATCAGATTCTTCTCTGGAGATTCTGGTTCAGTAGGTCTGCAGTGGGACTGGGAAATGTATACTTAACAACTTCCTCTGGTGGCTTTTATGGTTAAGCTGAGTTTCGGAAACAAAAATCTTAATATCTGATGTGGAAATATTATGACTTAGTTATGAGGAGACCATGTGTTCAGAGGCAGTGGATGATGATTGCTATTGAAAAACAGGCACAAGTCCTTCAGTAGCCCCTTCTCCTGGAGAATGTCCATCTTGGTTTCTAAAAACTGCACTCTTATGGATTCATTAATTGTAAGTTTCTGTCATCTTTGCAGTCAGCATGAGCAAGCTTAAAGTGATAACTGTTGTTCTGTGTCTGTGTGAAATACAATTTTGGGTAAAAAGCCGCCTGGTAATTGTCCCTCTCTCTACCCCTTTCTTCCCTCTCTCTTCCTCTTTTACTCCCCCTCCACTCCTCTTTAACCATACAGAACACAGTGAAAAAATGTAATAGAAACATTTCCATTTAGTAAGCATGGCATTTTGGGAAAGAGCATGTTTTGTCATATAAAACTCAGGGACTGTAGAATTTTTTAGAATTTACAGGTATTTGAAATTATTGGGAGGTTGAGTTCTCATTAGAGCCAGAAAGAACTGAGAATTTAAGATTCAATATAATGGACAATTAAGTAGGCAACTCTAGGGTTATTCTAATTGGGGGGGTCATGATTAAGAAAAATAAAGCAATATTTAGTATTTCTTGTGTATAACACACATTTATATTGTGTGGAAGAAAATAAAATTCTTTCCAACTCTTAGATTCAGAATGCTAGAATATTCTGCCTTAAATAGAAGAATCAGAGGTTTATGTCCATGAAGATAGTACTTAAGGATTAAGATGTTTAATGCTGTAAAGCCTTACTAACAGAATAACTTTAGGCACTCATTAAAATTTTGAATATGCTATTCTGAATTCAGCCTGTTTTAAAGTAAATGCAGGTTCATTAAAGTACAGATAGCATTTTGAACAAGTTTGACTATTTTGCTAAATAGAAGTCCTGCCAGACCTGCCTTAACAAATAGATAAAAGTGATTTGTAATGAGAATTTATCACACTGGTATGATTATGCTGCCTGTGATCCTAGATGAGTTTGTTCTCCTAAATATGGTAAACATTTTTCTTACAGTCTTCTTTTTGCCCTTAATTTGCTCATCAGTCTCTTTTTAAACTGGCAAAGTTGTAAATGTGGGTGAAAATTGTTTAAAGTTTTTAATGCCAAATTCCAAATAAATATGGTCAGCATTGATGGAGCTTTATTGTCTTTTGTTCTGGGAAGGAGTTGTCTTACAGAATTTAAGTGATAGAAACTGTTCTCTCCAAGTGTTTCTTTTATGACAATTCAGGATGCCCCAGGATAATCAGGAATGAAAGGTGTGGCTGAATTGCTTGATGTATCCTGGTTTGGAGGCGATTTGGCACCAAGTTTGGCCATTTTCTTCCTCCTGGAATAAACAAAAAGATCATTAAGATGAGGTTTTATTATTTTTGGTTGCATTCCATCAGAACAAGTGATATCTAATAGGAAATCTTAGCTTGAGAAAACCTGTAGACTGTTCACTTTATTTTTTCCGGAGGAAAATGTTTTGTGAAGTGTACTTACACTTTTTTTGGGTATTCACGTTGAACTGGTTGAGGCCTTTAACATAGTATTGTTCAGAGGGCAGAGGGCAGAGAGAGCGTGGCATGGTGAGCTGTGTTACAGCGTTTCTGGCGGTGAGTTGTGACCTACTGGTGTCAGTGGTCATAACCAGTATGTAAAAAAATACAACTAGATTAGAATAGAAAACATTAGAGTGTAAGAGTATTGTTTTATGTCCTATGTCACTATTTACATGTATATATAAACATATAAATATTACTAGGTCATGTTGTAAAATGAGTGACAAAGACAGGTTGGAGAGCAGGGTTCCAGGGGATCAGTTCCCCAAAGGGTAAAAAGTATATGTATTTGGTTCATCACTGTATCCTTAGCCCTGTAACCAGTATACGTAGTTGGTATTCAGTAAATATTTGCAGATTTCCCGATACCTCAGCTCAACTCAATCGTGGTTATAGTGAAACCACTGATACGGATGGAGATGTAAACCACTAAGGTGTGTTGTATAGTAGAAAGATTTAAAATCATGTCCTTCACACGGGAGTGGCATTTACTATTATGAAAAATAACTGACTAATGATGTCTTTCCTGGAGACCTTTTAAGTGACTGAATGTAAGACATGATTTGTGACACACCAGTGTGGCTAAAGCTCCTTTCAATGGTTCTGAGTAGTGGAAGGAAGCATAAGGGAAATGACCTCATCTCTGTCATTCATGGGAC